TCGGCAAGGCCATTTACACGCCAAACAGATGCTCCCGCCATCTGTCTACGAGACTCTCTGCCGAGGCCCTGGGGGGCGCGGGCGGGTAGCAATCTACAAGGCCATTTTATTCGTGGCAGGAGAAAGGCTCCGTGTAAACGTGGCCGCTGTGCCTTGAGGAACCGCGGCAGGCCCGGCAGGGGTGGACTCCGCGGCAGGATTCATCGCCCGCCCTCCCATTCGCCATTCATCTTGCTGAAAGGGCCTCGCTGGAAGCCTCTGGGAGAGGGGCAGGGGAGCCAGATGTTCTCTGAAGCCACATTCCTGAGCTGTTACAGGTACCTGGCGCTCAGGCGCGCCGGCCCCTCCTCCCGCTGGCCGTGTGCCCGCAGCCCCCCAGGCACGGGGGCGTCAGGGCCCGAGGCGAGGCCGTGCCTTCATCTGCGAGAACGCACGCTGACATCCATAGTTCTAAAGGTGAGCGCCGCCTGCACGCCCAGTCCCCCCAAGCTGCTCTGATCCCCCTCCTGGCGCCTCAGGAGACGGGGAGGGGGAGGGGAGGCTGAGACTTCCGAAGTCATTGCCTGGATTTATTAGCTCGGGAGTGGGGCTCGGATGAGCTATCTGCCTCCGCAGTCTCAGAGGACTGGAGGGGGAGAGGGAGGCGCTGTCCGGGACAGCCAGCCAATCCCGTCCTCAGCCCCCTGCCCAGCCCCCTGGCTGTGCCCCGGCCAGGGCCGTACTTGATCAGTTCCTCCTTGTCGTTCTCCACCTCTGGCTTCTCGTCCTCCTTCTCCCCCTCCTTCTCCTTCTCATCTTTCTCCTCCTGGCTGCTCCGGGGCATCTGCTGCTGCTGCTGCTGCTGCTGCTGCTGCTGCTGCTGCTGTTGGCAGGGAGGGCAGGGAAGAGGGGAGAGAAGAACACAGTGAGGCACGTGGATCTGCGCACCTGGGCAGGAGGGCGCTGGGGGAAAGGAGGGGAAACCACAGAGTCAGCCCAAGGGGAGGCCAGGGCCAGCTGGTGGGAGCTGGGGACAGGCCGCGGCCTGGGGTCCTGTGGTCCACAGGGCCTGAGGGGAAGAGTAGGAAGCACTGGTGTCAGATGCCCTGGGTTCGATTCCTGCCTCCCCTGCTTAGTGGCTGTGTGACCTTAGAGGAGGGTCTTAACCTCTCTGTGCTCTGATTTCTTCGCTTTTAAAACAGGGGTATTCAGCATGCTTGTACCTCAGCCAGGGGCCGGGGGGCTGCAATGAGAGAATCCTTACGTGGCACTGAGGATGGCACCCGGCACCGATATTTGAGAGGCGCAGGAGTGATTTGCGCCAGAGTGAGGGGCTCTGGTCGGCCCCAGGCATGGGCGGGGAAGCATCCAGGAATCTGGGGACGCAGCGCTGACGCCCAGCCCTGCCCCTGCCAAAGCTCAGGCCACCTCACTAAGCCTCGGTCTCCAAGTCTGCAAAAGGGAGAGGTGGGGGGATGCCCCCAATTCCCCGGAGCCGCCAGGACGGCCCCAGGCCTGTCTGAAGGTGGCTGCCCAGATGCTGGCAGCCCCACAGGGAGCAGAACAAGCCCATGTTCCGGGCAGGTCGAGGGGCTCAGGGCCAGGCCCGCCTGCTCACTCCGGCCTGTCATCGCGCCTGCCCCAGTCGCTCTGGGCACGAGGGCCGCCAAGGCAGAGGAGGAAGCGGAGTGGCCAGCTGCTCCCAGCGCCGCCTCCCGACTTCCTTCCGTCCCGCCCGATTTCTCTGATCAGGCGCAGACTGATTTTCTTGGCCGCCCAAGGTCCTCCCTGCAGGCAGCTGCCAAACCAGACCATCTTTCCATCCCGTGGAGCCAAGTGAAATAAAAATAAACCCCGAGAGCCCCGCTACGTGTACGGGGGGCACAGTCACAGCACTCTCCAAACCAGGGGTGACAAACCCCAGGCAGACGGAAAAGGAGGGGACCGGGGCGTGAGAGCCCCTTTCTCCTGCCAGGGCCTGACGCCCGCCCAGCGCACGGGGCCCTCTCGGCCCTCCTCGGAGCCCGGGGGCCACCACGGGCACCCCGCGGACGCCACGTCACAGGCGAGGGTCTGCCCACTGCAGGTGGCCGCGGCTCTCAGAGGCTGCTGCTGGTTCCGCTCCGGAGCCTCCTGGCCGGGATCCACTCTCTTTGCCCCAAGAATCCGCCCCAGCTCCCACGCCCCGTGTTCTGTAAGCAGACGGGGGGGCAGAGCCGCCTGACCTGAACAGCTGCCCCCACCCCACGTCACTGCCGAGTCCCGACAGATGGCCCTGCGTCCTTGGACCAGCCCGTGCTCCCTCTCCTAACCGCAAACCCTCAGACGCACGGGCTCGACCTTTACGCAGCCCAGAGCGGTGGCACCTCTCGCGCCCGACAGGAGACGCCCCTCTGGGAGCTGGCCCGGCAGGTGGGAGCCGGGGCAGAGGTGTTCCAGTTTGCTCCGACACAGTGTCGCCTCTCCGCATCCGCCTGACTGGGCAGTGGCGGTGAGCGGGTGCTGCGGACCAGGGCCCAGGGTGGTAGGGAGAAGACTGTGTGGCTGTCTGGGGAGGGAGTCCCGCCCGGTGGGCTGCCCCACACGGATGGCGTCTCCACCCTGGCTTTGGGACGGCCAGGATCCGACACCAGGGCCAGGGTCTGTGCAGGGCGGAGCTTGGTCCCCACCCCGGCTGCAGCACCCCTCCCAACGAGAGCGGCAGCCACGTGGGCCGCCCTCTCGTGGCACCTATCCACCGGCCCCTGGATCCAGGCCAGTGGGGGCCCCCTGAGCCTGGGGCCTCACCACGGATCGATCAGTAACCAGCACCCACACGGCCAGCAGGTGCAGCTCCGCACCCGAGGCTGGCAGCGTGGCCGGCTGGAGAGGCGCGTCCGCACCGGGCCTGAGCTCGGAGCCTTCCCTGCCACGTGGCTCCTCCGCACCCTCAGAAGAGCCGCACCAAGGGAGGGCGCAGGGGAGACGCTCACGGACACCCGAGGCCGCGTCTCCGGAGCGCTCACTGGCCGCCGGCGCCATTCTGTGCATGGGATGCTGGCAGGCTCCCAGCATCCCTCAGGAAGCCCCAGGAGGATGATGAAGATGAAAGCAGCATTGGCGGCGGCAGCCTGTGGGGACCGCCCCACCCCACCCCGGGCACCATGCCCATCCGCCGAGTGCCCTTAACTGACCCGAGACAGGAGGGCCATGGTCGCCACCCCTATTATGCAGAGGAAGAAACTGAGGCTGAGGCAAAGCTTCAAAGTCTTAGAGCAGGATGGGGACGCCCTGGGGTGCGAGGGCGTGGTCCTGCCGTCCCCAAAGCCCTGGCTGACAGGCTCACCTCTGGCTGGGATCTGGGCTTCAGGACCCCATCCCTTTCTGCTGACCCCACCTGTCCCCAGCTCAAGACTCCCTGGGCCCTGCCCGTGACCCCGTTCCCCTGCATGGTGGAACCCCATGGCATTCATCACGGTGCTGGCTGACGGCCTCCTCTGCAGGAGAGGAAACTGAGGCACAGAGAGGGGAGCAGCGATGCTGCTACACTGCAGGGCCAGGATCGCAGCCGGCACACTAACTGCCATGTGAGTTGTATTTAACTCACGCTGTTTTGACCCCGGGGCCTCAGGAAACACACGTAACTCACACGTCTCTACCTCAGGAGCCGCGTGAACTATTTTTCAAGGTGCGTATAACTCACGCACAGAAAACAATAAAAAATAATTTTTCATTAAATTAGAAAGGATCGTTTTGTTTTCGAAGTTTTTATTCTATTTTCGTAATAAAACACCGTGGCCCCAAGGAAAACATTTCTTGTTTCTAGCATGGCAGTCGACGTGCGAGAGTCTGAGTTCCGCCCGACCCCAGCTATGCCTGGCCCCTGCCGGGACCCCCACGCCCGTCTCCCAGCCCTCGGCCAGCAGTGTCCCAGGTCACGGTCCCCAAGCCCGTGCCATCTGACGCGAGGTCAGCAGTCCCTGTCGGCACTAGAACCTGGTCATGGTTTCCGTTCTTTTCCCATCGGGGTGCTGCAATCCTGGCGCCAGGCCCTGCCCCCTCCTTCCCCTCCCTGACAGCAAAGGCAGGGGCAGGGGCCTCCCCCTTCCCCCACCCCCCAGGCACACGCCCTCCGGGGCCGCCCTGGAGCCGTGGACGGGCTCCTCGCTTCCTGTGGCCCAAGCCCCGTCCCCCCGGGGGAGGCGCCGCTGCTCCCGGCACCGAGCCACTCCAGCGGGGAGGACGAGTGGGAGAAATGCCAGGGCAGCCCTGGCCTCAAAACACGCTGTCCCGCGGGAGAGACCCCGTCAGCCCTATGAGCGACATGTGCCCGGCCCCGAGGTGGTGACACGGGAGGCCGCTCCCACTCGCTCCTGGGAGACTCACGCGGGGAGAGGGAGGCCCCAGATCACAGCTCCCCAGGAGGCGCTGAGTCGACCCGGCCAGCCGGCTCTGCCCTCTAAAGTGTG